AGAACCTGCTTCTGTAGTTGGATAGCCATTCACAGTCTTTGTTTAATCCCGATCTGATGGTGTCAAATTTGCAAAATCAGGATTTATACCTGCCTCTGGAGATTTCCATTACTTGTATCTGAAGAAGTGAGGTTCTTACCCACGAAAGCTTATGCTCCCAATACTTCTGTTAGTCTTAAAGGTGCCACAGGTCCCTCTATTACTTTTTACAGATTCAGACTAACACGGCTACTCCTCTGATACTTGTTATAAGAGAGAAAACCTCTGCCGGCCTTGTTCAAAGACCAGGAAAATGCGGTGAGCAGCGGTGTCTCCTCGCACATTAGACAGATGGTGCTGTGGATTTCAGCTCTCTGTAAAGCTCTCCTGGGCTGCGAGCGCCCTACGGGCTCTGTTGTGATGGGTGGAGAGCTTGGCAAAGTGCGCAGCCTGGGAGTTCTGCTCTGAGAGGCTCTACTACATGGGCGATTGGGATCGGGCGGCGAGAACCAGGGGGTGACTGGGGTTGGGCGGCTGAGATGGGGGGTTGGAGTCCCCAGGGGAGTGGGGGGGAGAACCCCAGTGGTGCTGAGTGGAGGGTTGGGCGGCTGAGATGGGGGGTTGGAGTCCCCAGGGGAGTGGGGGGGAGAACCCCGAGTGGTGCTGAGTGGAGGGTTGGAGACTCCCGGGGGGACCCGGTGGCGCAGCGTGGCTGAGTGGAGGGTTGGAGACCCCAGTGGGGGGAGGAGGGCCTGGGAGCACTGAGTGAGGGGGACGGGACCCAGTGGAACAGCACAGCTGAGTGGTGGGTTGGAGACCCCAGTAGCGCAGTGCGACTCAGCCGAGGAGGGCCCAGTTTGAAACGCCTGCATGCAGACTAGTGCAGAGAGAGCCTGCCGAGGGTGTGGAGATCCAGCTCTGTGATATTTGGCCAGTTGTGATTCCTGACCCAGATCTTGCACTGCACATGTGGGGCCGGTACCTGCACTGATCTGCCTGACCCCGGCTCTATTGCTGTGCTCTAGCGCCTCATCACTCTTAAATTTCTTAAATGGGGTGCCCCAGGGCTGTGTCCTCAGCCCTTTGCTGCAGGATGCACCTTAGGCCTGTGAGGTTGGTGTTGCGGTGGCCACTGGGGCTGTTTGTGAACGCCAGGCGGTGGCAGCTCTGGGTGCATGCCATGGAATGAGGATGTGCCTGAGGATGTGCCTGGGGCTGTGCTCTTGGACCACCCTGGGCAAAGCCACGCTCAGGAGGCACTTGGAAGGCGTTGGAGCTGAGTGGGTCAGCTGGGCTGTCAGCGCAACCTGAGGCAAGCTGGAATTTTCAAGAGTTTTGGGGAAAATGGCAAATTCATTTCTAAATTCTGTTTAGCTCTCCCCCGTTTCCCTGAGTTCCCGTCTAGAGTCTCCTGGCTGTGGCCTCTCCAGCACAGTGTGTGCCTTGCAGTCAGTCTGATTTTGTTAATAGTGGCTTGGATTTGATGTCCTGGCTGTTGGTTCCGGGCACACTTGCCAACAGACACCGAGCTTGACGTGCTCAGCTGGGGAGACCATGGCTCATGGCAGCCAGGATCTTCCAGGAAGCAGCTGCTGCAGATTCGACACAGACCGGAGCTCTCTGACCGTGCAGCCAGAGAATGCTCCTGAATCAGCTGGGCAGCTCAGCTGGGACGAGTAGGCCCCTGGCCAGGCTGGTCCTGCAGCATCCAGCCCATCAGGAAGGGGTGTGATGTTCCAGGCAGCAAATAGGGAGCTTGAATGGCAGGCCTGGCTGGGGCAGAGTCCTGGCAGTGACATGTGCCGCTGGCTGGAGCAGTCAGAGGTGTCATGTGTGATGCCTTCCCAGTCCATCCCCTGCTTTGTAGTTTTCTGGGAGAGCAACGGTGCCTTGTGCACTGGGCGGGGGTTGTGTGCACAGACTCCTGGCTATACTGCAGTAGGACCTGGAGGCCCCCCTGTGCCAGGTGCTGTCCCAAGGGCTCACCGTCTGAAAGCAGACAAAGCAGAGTGGAGCAATGAGATGAAGTGGGCTTGGGGGAGAGCAGGGTAACCAGAGAGCACTTGTCCCGTGGGCAGCGGGGAGGTGAGGGTTATCCCAGCAGTCTGGAGCTGCCTTCAGGAACACCCATCTCAATAACCGTTGCTTGTCTGCAGGGTGTCCCCGACCCGGAAAAGGTGTCTACAGAAGTCCAGCAGCTGTGGGTACTAACAGAGATGATCCGCGCTAACCAGACGGCAGCCCGAATCGGGCGTTTTGACGTTAGTTTCCAGTTAGCTCTGTTCATTGCCCACAGGGGCTGGCCCCCTGTTCTGGGCTTGCTGTGTGGCCCGGCGTGCACCGAAGGGGCAGGATGTATTTTGGGCACTGGCAGCATCTGCTGTCACCCTGAGCTGCTCCCAGCTGGCCATGCTGTACGAAATGCCATCAAACTGCTGGGAAAGCTCCTGAGGGTTCCCGGTTCAGGAGTATTGGAGGTAGGGAACTCTCACCTCCCCTAGTTCCAGCCTCTCTGATGTTCCAGCTCCACTTCCACTGTAATGGAGGAGGTAGGCTGCATGGGGGGGGGCTCTCGGCTCCTGCAGTCCCAGCAGAGGTCCCTAGCGGGCACGTCGGAGGCTGTGGACACCTGCATTCCCAGCAGTGGCCCCAAAGGGATGTGTTGGGTGCTGTGGGCGCCTGCAGTCCCAGCAGCGGCCCCTACAAGGGCGCGTCAGGGGCTCTCGGCTCCTGCAGTCCAAGCAGCAGCCCCTAGGGGGTGTGTCGGGGCTCTCTGCTCCTGCAGTCCCAGCCAGCCCCAGCAGGAGGCAGCGGGGTACCCTGATGGGAGTGACGATGGTCTCTGTGTTCCAGGTGGATGGCTGTTACGACATCAATCTGCTCTCCTACACCTGAGCTCTGGCCCAGGCTGGCTGCCCTGAACTTGCCATCTGCACAGCACGTTTCCTTCATTGCTGATCAGAGTCTGCCTCAGCTCTCCCAAGCCAAGAGGGTTGTTTTCTCTCCCTCCCTGTTCTGTGCTCCCTCAGCCTCCCCCACAGCATCTCCTGGGCTTCTTGGCTCCTTGGTGCTGGCCAGATTCCTCCATCTGCATCTCCCTGGGGCCTGCGGACTTCCTCTTCTCCTGGCACTGCATAAGCTCCCTGTTCTGGGCCTGGCAGGCATGTCCCCCAGCCTCCTGATCAAATCACATTGCAGGTGTTTGGCAGAGCCCCCCCGGGAATTTCAGACAAATCCTGCTTCCAGTGAGATCTGGGGTGCCAATAATCCTGGGGTGGGCAAAGCTCAAGGGATGTGCTGGGCTCTGGGAACAGAGTTACTGCCCTGAATATTGCACCAGAGCCCTGCCCCTCCGAGCTTGGAGCTGCCTGGGGCTCAGCGTGGGGTTGGTGTGCTGCAGGCATGGGACAGGGAAGGGACTGTGATGTTCCCTGTTTCTTGCCATTGCCCATGGCAGTGCAGTGGGAGGTGCTACCCAAAAGCCACAGGGCTACTTTGGCAGTTTTTTTCTGTTCTCCCTGTTCTGGTAGGGTACAGGGCTGGGGCCCTACTACCTTCCCTTCATGGTAGTGGGGCTGCAGGGGCATGGCGAGGGGGGAGGAAGGACTGTCGGTTGGAGCCTTCCTGGCTGTGGATTTTAGCAAGGTTGCAGGGCTCAGAGCCTGGGATGGGGAGAGCTGTCTGTGGGCTCTTGGGAGCCTCAGCACCAATGGCAATCAAAGTATGCTACCGCAGAACACAGTCCAGACACCCCCCATCGCTCCCAGCCTGGGATTGAGTGTGGGATCCCCATTGTCTCCCAGCCCCAATTGGCTCCTGACCCATAAATGTGCAAACTCTGTGAAGATGGGCAGCTTGTCACCTAGCCCCTCTGATAGCCCCAGGGTGCTCCCAGATGCTCACTTCCAATCATGGAGTAAATAGCAGCCACGCGGAAGAGATTTGAACTCTTGGTCTCCTGGATCCCAGCCTGGAGCACCTTCCCCCGGGCCCCTGGATCATGGCCTGGAGCCCCCCCCCCACTACACACACCCACACACCAGGTACTGGGGGTTGTCTCTCTCTCTCTCCTGCAGTGCTGGGCAAGATTCCCAGCAGCCCTGTGTGCTGCTCCTGAGCACCCAGTCCCTTGGTAACACGGGTGTGGGCTGGTTTGCGGGCTCATGGGCCTGCTCAAAAAAGTAGGGGATGGGGTGTGTCTTGGGAACCGCTGCAGCAACCGAGCCCCACTTTGTGCCATTAACTCTCCCAGGAGGTGCAGTGGAGAGTGCTGGCACCTGACGTGGGGCAATGGCATGACTGCCACTTTCCCTGGTATTCAGGGCAGTGGCAGGAGGTGAACACCTGGCCTCTCCCCATGTTCTCTCCAAGGGGGCTGGAGTAGCTTGCACCTTCCAGCCTTCACCACATGTAACCTCTCGCCTACCCTGGGAATGGCTGGCCCCAGCATTTGTCTGGGAACCAAGGTCCAGAGAGACTTGCCCAGGGTCACATAAGGAGTTTGTAGCAGAACTGGGACATGAGCCCTGGTCTCCTGAATGCCAGCCTGGTGCCCTCTCCTTGGGCCATCTTTCCTGGCCACGTGCTTCCTTCCATCCTTCCTGGCTGCATGTGGCTGGGCTGGCCTGAGTAGGACATGGGTCTTGGGCTGTAGCCAGCCATGCTGTTCCCTCCAACAGTCACTGTGCCCATGGGGATCTGACCCCTATTCTGCCTGTCCCCACAGGGGGATGCATCATGCATTTGCTGGATCTGCACCCAGCTGCTCTAATAAACAACCCCCAAAGCTGAGCTGTGCTAGTGGTTTCTCTGAGTGGAGCCTGGCTGGCACATGCCATCCCTTCTGCCCTGCCTGGGCATTGTCACTTCCCTACAGCCCAGTTTGGGGGCTGCCTGTGCCCAACCCAGCCTTCCCTCAGCTCTTAGAAGAGGGGAGCTGGAGCTGAAGGGCCATTGTCCATAGAGAGGACAAGGCCAGGTTTCAGGAGAGCTGTGGGGGAGGCTCGTGGGGGTGAATGAGAGGAAGGCAGTGTTACCTGCACAATCTAGAGCACCCTGCCTATACCCTATGGAGGGTTCAAGGCATGAACCAGTCAATTTATGCACCCCCACCCTTTTCCTTCCAAGGGCTCAGGGTGTAAGGCACCTATCCTTATGTGACCCGGGGTGCCAGGGCAGCCCTCACTGAAAATGTCAAGGGCAGGGCAGGCTGCAAAAGGCAGAGCAGATACTCCCAAAACAGATGGTTAACACTGAATCACACAGCTGCCTTTTTTACATTCCAGTTCTCTGGCCCCCAGTCAGGACCTAGGTCCAGTACAGCGAGAAGTTGTTTAAAAGCTCTGCTCACATATACAAAATATTCTGACCCCAAAGGGCCAGCCATGTTACCAGGTCAATATTAGTTTGGAACTTACCCAAAATACCATGCTGCTAATCAATCCTTTAGTATCTAAAACTAAAGATTATTATAAAGAAAAAAGAAAGAACAAGAAGAGAGTTGTTAAGTGGTGAAGCAGTCAGATACATACCGAGACTTCAAAGTCCATATATCATGTTCTTAGCTGTATTGCTGAGTTTGCTGGCTTGAAAGTCCCTCTGGAACACGTCCACAGCTGGGATGGCTCATTCAGTCCTTCGTTCAGAGCTTCGTTTGTAGAAAAGTTCCTCCAGAGGTAAGAAGCAGGAATGAAGACAAAATGGAGAAGATGCAGCTGCCTTTTATAGTCTGCCATGTGGCTTGTGCGTCCTTTGTTTCAAACACAAGCTGCCCAGCACATGGCATGGAGAAGCCTTTGAGTTCTGTCCATAAAGTTCAAGCCCCTACATGGTTTGCTGACTTATAAGGTGTAGTCCCTGCCTTTTTCAATGGGTTCATTGTATAGCTGATGACCCTTGATGGGCCATTGAATAGGCTAGGGCAGTGCTGATGCCAATCTATCTGGGGGTGTCACCCAGAAACACAGCATAAGTTTTGAAACAAATATATCATGCATATCTGTAACTCACAATACCATCCTATACCGAAAATCCACCGACCATTATGCCTACCTTCATGCCTCCAGCTTCCATCCCGGACACACCACACGATCCATCATCTACAGCCAAGCGCTGAGGTATAACCGCATTTGCTCCAACCCCTCAGACAGAGACCAACACCTACAAGATCTTCACCAAGCATTCTCAAAACTATGATACCTGCATGAGGATATAAGGAAACAAATCAACAGAGCCAGACATGTACCCAGAAGCCTCCTGCCGCAAGACAAGCCCAAGAAAGAAACCAACAGAACTCCACTGGCCATCACCTACAGTCCTCAGCTAAAACCTCTCCAACGCATCATCAGTGATCTACAACCCATCGTGGACAACGATCCCTTGCTTTCACAGGCCTTGGGAGGCAGGCCAGTCCTCACCCACAGACAGCCCACCAACCTTAAGCATATTCTCACCAGCAACCATGCACCGCACCATAGTAACTAACTCAGGAACCAATTCATGCAACAAGCCTCAATGCCAACTCTGCCCATGTATTTACACCAGCAACACCATCACAGGACCTAACCAGATCAGCCACAACATCACCGGTTCATTCACTTGTACGTCCACCAATGTAATATACGCTATCATGTGCCAGCAATGCCCCTCTGCTATGTACATCGGCCAAACTGGACAATCCCTATGTAAAAGGGTAAATGAACACAAGTCAGATATTAGGAATGGCAATATACAAAAACCTGTAGGAGAACACTTCAGCCTCCCTGGACACACAATAGCAGATTTAAAGGTAGCCATCCTGCAGCAAAAAAAACTTCAGAACCAGACTCCAAAGAGAAACTGCTGAACTTCAGTTCATTTGCAAATTTGACACCATCAGATCAGGATTAAACAAAGACTGTGAATGGCTAGCCAAGTACAAAAGCAGTTTCTCCTCCCTTGGTGTTCATACCTCAACTGCTAGAAGAGGGCCTCATCCTCCCTGATTGAACTAACCTCGTAATCTCTAGATTGATTCCTGCCTGCATATTTATACCTGCCTCTGGAAATTTCCACCACATGCGTCTGATGAAGTGGGTATTCACCCACGAAAGCTTATGTTCCAATACTTCTGTTAGTCTATAAGGTGCCACAGGACTCTTTGTCGCTTTTCACAATACAAAGGTTGATACAAACATATAAACTAGATCAGGGGTCGGCAACGTTTGGCACACGGCTCACCAGGGTAAGCACCCTGACGGGACGGGCCAGTTTATTTACCTGCTGACGCGGCAGGTTCAGCCGATCGCGGCCCCCGCTGGCCGCGGTTTGCCGTCCCGGGCCAGTAGGGGCGGTGGGAAGCAGCGCGGGCGAGGGATGTGCTGGCCGCGGCTTCCCGCCACCCCCATTGGCCCTGGGACGGCGAACCGCGGCCAGTGGTGGCCGCAATCAGCCAAACCTGCCACATCAGCAGGTAAACTGGCCTGGCCTGCCAGGGTGCTTACCCTGGCGAGCCGCGTGCCAAACGTTGCCGCCCCCTGAACTAGATCATCATACTTGGCAAATCATAACATTTTCACAGATACTTTACATGGCATATCTGTCAGATTCCTTGTAATTTTATAATATTGGTATCAATATCACAAGGTGTTCCCCATATTCCATACAGCATCACACCTTACCCCTGGGGCTCAGGGAGAAACCTGGACAATTTAAGTACCCCCCCCTTTTCCATGGGGCTCAGGGCTCTACGGGTCTGCGGGCCCTTTTCCCAGCAAATGAGCCTTACACAGCTGTGCTCTAAACATCTATTTATTAGCAACACACACACAATACATATACCAAGAACATCTCTTATGCTCAACACTCCCAATATAGAGACAAATTTCACCCGATGACCAGTCAGGATTCATTCGTCTGGGGGTTCCCAGCGATGTCTCTGTACGTCACAGTCGTGCAGAGGGGTCAGAGTTCCAGCAGCTTGATGTTAAACTGCAGTCCAGAGATGGTTCCCAGAGAACATTGTTTTTCATTTACATTCTGTAGGTAAAACTAGCTCCCTCCTTTACCCTCACTATCCTATCATACTATTCGATATCCCTAGGTAACAAAACGGAACCAATTGTGCACTAGCACCTATGTTTTCTCCTTACTGCTCAAGTCTTTTTTACATTTTTTATCTCTTATGCCCTAATTGTAACTTATTTATGATATTCTCTGTTTTTCTGTCTGTGCAGATCGTCCGAGCTTAGCTTAACTATTTTACCATTTGTTTGGGTCTTTCTGTTTCCTCCCTACATTTCCCAGGGCCTCGGGGAGGGGGGGGCTCTACAGCCCTTGGTGTTATAACTATTGTTAGGGATATTCCTGAGCTGGGGGCGCTCGGTGGCAGCAGAGCATTTTTTCTTAATCGCAGTGCTGAAATCCCTGAGTTTCACCCAAGGCAGATCAAGGCTGGTTTATGGGTGAGTTAAGTCCTAGCCCTACAGCAGTGCCTGTGGTGCTGGTCATAGGGGAAATGGCTTGTTCTGTGGGGAGCCGCTGCCCAGGGGGAGGTGCACCCAGAAGTGGTCAGCTCATGAAGTCCAGGGTTTGATTCTCCAGGGTTGGAATCTCTTCCAAAGTGGGGGAGTCAATCTCCTGTCAGCCCCTTCACTCCAGGCACCTCACCACAGACAGCAATTCCTGGGGCTCCTGGCCCATCCCATTTCCCTGTGGCCTCCTCTCCCCAGGCTGCAACCTCTAGGGCCTGCAGCTCCGCATTTACATCACTTGAACCCCAGCTATTGTACGGAGAGCAGTGATACCACTGTAGGGGCTGAGCCACAGGTGCTGGATACACCCAGAACAAAGAGACAGCCCCTGCCCTGCTGACAGTCTAAGGCCACATCTACACTACACACTTCTGTTGACTTGAGTTACATCGGCATACAGCCGCTGCAGTTAGTACATCGTTTGTGCGCATGCACACATGGCTCTTTGTGTTGGTGGTGCACATACTCACCAGGAGTGCTTGTGTCAATGCAGAGTGCAGCACGCCATGAGTGGGTATCTCACTGTGCAATTCACCACTGTGCAGCACCAGGTCTTTTGGGATGGGGCAGAAATGAGTCACACAGGGGTGACTGGGAGCAAGGGGTCAGCTTCCCAGTGTGCAACTGTCTCCATCCCATAATCTGAAGAAGTGAGGTTTTTACCCACGAAAGCTTATGCCCAAATACATCTGTTAGTCTTTAAGGTGCCACCAGACTCCTTGTTGTTTCCATCCCATAATGTTATCTGTATCCCATAATTTTCATGCCTTTTTTTAAAAATCCCACAAACCTGTGTCCCTCCTTGCTGTCCACCATCTCTGACAGAAGTCTGGAGCCTGCACAGCTCTGCACTATTGTCATGAGCGCTGCAAGCACAGGACACATGATCCTGGAGTATTTGCAGAGCTGCAAGAAAAACCCAAATGAGTGGGGAACATGATAATTAAGGCTATGTTTATGTCATGGAAGTCACGGAATCCATGACTTCCAGAGACAACTTTGACATTTTCTGCTTCAGTCCCGGGGGCCCTGCAGGGTTCCAGCGACAGGCAACAGCCTCGTGGGGGGCAGGGGAGGGGGAAGGGGTTCGGGTGAGTGGCTGGGGGAGTCCCATTTTCTCTTTGGGAAATATGGTTCCCCTTACAGCTCCCATTCACAGGACATGCTGGTCAGTCGGGAAATCCACCATAGGGGTTGTTGTGATGAAAGCATGCAGGGCCACTAACTGCCTCCTGCTGTGCAGGCCTGTGACACTCGGCAATGTGCAGGACTTAGTGGAGGGTTTTGCAGCAATGGGGTTCTCAAACTGTGGTGGGGCAATAGATGGCATCCATATCCCTACTTTGACACAGACTTCCTTGCCACGGAGTGAATCAACAGAGAGGGCTACTTTTCTATGGTCATGCAAGTGCTGGTGGATCATCGGGGATGCTTCACCAACATCAGTGTTGGTTGATTAGGGAAGGCGCATGAGACTCACATCTTTAAGAACACAGGACTGTTCAGAAGGCTGCAAGCAGGACTTTCCTTCCTGAATGGCAGATTACTATTGGTGATATTGCAATGTCAGCAGTCATTCTGCGAGACCCAGCCTACCCCTTGCTCCCATCGCTTACAAAGCTGTATGCCAGCCACCTTGAGGGCACCAAGAAGCACTTCAACTACAGGCTCAGCAGGTGTAGAATGACAGTTCAATGTGCCTTTGGTTGACTGAAGGCTCGTGGTGGTGTTTACTTACAAGATTGGCCCTCAGTGAGAAAAATATTCCAATGGTTGTAGCTGCCTGCTGTGTCCTGCATCATCTCTGTGAGGCAAAGGGGGAAAAGTTTCCCCTTGGGCTGCAGGGTGGAGGTGGAGCGTTTGTCTGCTGAGTTTGAACCACCAGACAAAAGGACTATTACAAGAGCTCAGCACAGAGCTATAAGGCTCAGGGAGGCTTTGACAGACCATTTTAACAGTGAGCCAGAACAGTGTGTGTTGCTGCAGTGTGCTCTGCCTGGCCTTATTCTTTTGTGGCCTGGTAGGAATGAGGTGGTGGTTGCAGTACATGTAGGGATATAACACTGTCAATGCACCTATTCATTGTGTTTGTGAATGATGTTATGAGTCATGTGACTCTGGGCAGTAACAGGTCATTGGGTCCTTTCAGAACTGCTGAGCGCTAGGCAGCATGTGTTGTGAACTAATAAAGGTAAATTATGCTCCAAATAATTGAAATTTATTCTGTAACAAAATCAGTGCAAAAAAAAAAACCTCTGTGCAATGTTAAAACAAATACATTAAAAACTTAATAAATTAAGAGACCAAAACTTAGAAAGGGGAAAGAGCCATCCATTTCAGCTACACATACACCAGCCCTGGCTTCCCCAGGTCTATGTATGTGAAGCTGATTGTCTTTACTGTCGACTGGGGTGGAGTGGAGGGGTACTGCACTGACTCCTGATGCCATGTGGGATGTTGAGGGGGGTGTAGGAAGGTCCTGATATTGAGTTCTCAGTGGGATGCAGAGGGAGGCGAGCCCGGGATTGTTGAACCTGCAGGTCCACCAGAGACTGCAGTGTCTGTATTTGCTACCTGATGAGGTTTTTAAGGTCAGGCTTGACAAAGCCCTGGCTGTGATGATTCAGTTTGTTTTGATCCTGCTTTGAGC